AGCCTCCAGTGTTGCATTCAGTTTACGTTTGTCATCCATTTTCATTCTCTCTCTCTCTCTCTCCCTCTCTCTCTCTCTCACACACACACACACACACATCTCATGGATGTATCTCGATCACATAGAGAATCAAGCCTTTCGTTTTGCATTCAGTTTACTTTCATCATTCATTTTCATTCTCTCTTTCTCTCTCTCTCTCTCTCTCTCTCACACACACACACACACACACACACACCTGTCTCTTATACACATCTAGATGTGTATAAGAGACAGAGGGCATACAGGGGAAGCCCCACTCCCTGATTGGCAAAGAGCTTGGCAGAATGAAGGTTAGAAAAACCTGCCGCATCAAACCTCACTGTTTTCTCATGTTAGCCAACGCCAAACACTCCTTCCCATGGAAACCATCAGATACCTTCAAAGACAACAACCCGACCCTCACAAACAGCAAATATCCAAACACAAACAGATCGAGAACAACCATACCAAACCACAAAACGGAAAGAAGAGGAGTACAGAGCTCCAGCGAGGTGCATGTAATGTGTACAGACAACTCTGCAGGAAGAAATATACTGGTCCCTATCAAATGGTGCCATTTTTGAAACCCAGCTCCCAACAACAGAAACCCCTGCACTTGGGTGCCATCTCACCGTCATGGGACAAGGATCCGCTACTTTCTGTAAATGGTTTCTAGGCTTCTAGCAATTTTAGTAATCTTAAGAATTGCTACGGGAAATCATCATACCTTCCCTCCATGCTTAGCATACGATCGATCAGCCCATCGATCAGATAAGCGCAGAAGGGATGGCACGTTCGTGATCCCGTCAATCAGATGTGTGCACCGGGAGTGCACAGGGAGCGCACCAGGGGAAAAAAGCAGTCAGTGGTTCACGATTTAGATTACCGAAGAAGACAAACAGTACTGACAAGCAGTGTCCCGTGCCTCAAAAAAAGGTATTTCGAAAGATACATCAGATTAGCACTGAGACAAACATATGACAACTGGCAGGATCAACCAGGTAAGCGTTATTCAATGCTAATATGTTCAGAGCTCTTTGAAACAAGCATATAACTACTGGCAGGATCGACCAAGTACACATAAATGCGATACTCAATGTGAACTGCACAAGAAAAAAAAAAGAAGATCAGGAGTGATTAGGCAAGATGGCATCAACATCAAATACTGAGATGGGGAGACAGGGATGCCAAAGCAAGAAATCTCAACCCCCCACACAGATGGAGAGAGAGAGGAGAAAAGGTTTCTCTCCTACGAAATGCATGAACAGAAAGCGGATGCCAACGAGTCTGATTGCGGGTATCGCGGACAGATTTGTTCCCTTGGATAACACGGCATCCAAGTTTCCAATTGAGCCTCTCAGCTATGTGCTAGACATCAACAAGGCAAGAGGACAAGACACATGGACAACATAGTTAATCTCTCTCTCTCTCTCTCTCTCTCTCTCTCTCTCTCTCTCTCTCTCTCTCTCTCTCTCTCTCTCTCNCTCTCTCTCTCTCTCTCTCTCTCTCTCTCTCTCTCTCTCTCTCTCTCTCTCTCTCTCTCTCCGTGGAAGGAGGAGGTTGCTGCGACAACTTGCAATCCTATGCCGTACATCCACTGTTCAGAATGGGACTGGTGATTACAATCCATCCCAGGAAATCCCAGCTTATCTCATAAGTCTTTGACAGCCCCACATGTTGCCGCTTTTCTGCACGCAGTAGCTGTGCCAACATTCGCAAAAAAAGGACAGCACCAGTCAATGGGATGCAAGGATTCAGTATGTCGGTCAGCAATGGAAAGGCCTCGCCTGCCCTAAGTGAAGGCAGGCCTGCAAAAATGCAGCAAGACCTGAGTAAAGGCCAATGTGAGCAGAATGCTTCCCCGCCCCCCCCTTTACTTGCAACGCACGTGCAGCATCGTGTAGGCTCAGTCCACGAGTTGGTTGAAGATGCTGGGTCTCTTGCGGATTCTGAAAGGCCCAGGGCGCAGGGAACTGGGACAAGATGCAGCCTGGGCACAGCCTCCTCCGCTTCTCCAGCCAGCACAAAAGACGGAGGGCGCCCTGCTGCGTACATTCGTGCGTTCAAGCAATGCTGCAGCACTGCACGAGTGACTTCTTAGTGCTGATGCACAAGGAGGAAGGTGCACGGTGGCAGCGAGGTGACAGAGAGAGGAAGAGTGGCAGCCATCATAGCCAGGCTGCTCGCTCCATAGCCGGTGGAGGAGTGGAGGTCCTTGGTGGAACAGGGAGTGGGAGAAGGAAGAAAGGCAGTGTGACAAGGCACGTACCTGGTTTTGACGAAGGCAGGCTGCTCAATCAGAGTCTTCAAGCGGCATTGGGATGATGATATGTGGATCATTTGCAGACAAACAGGCTAGTCTGAGTTGTAGGAGTAAGAGTCGGCGGAATAGCCACCTGTAGCAGGGGTACATTGTTGTTGTATTGGTGATTGGAGGCGATGGAAGGGCTTTCATTAACAAGAGACTTCGGTACCTTGCTCGTTCCTATTCGGTCCGAATCTTGCTTTGATTTCTGCCTTCAATTTCAGCTCGATGATGTCTTGTCTTCTGTGAGATGTCACAACTTCGTTAATTGCTATTCACATTGCTTCATTCCTCGCAACGATTTGATTCAGTCCAATGGATGCCTACTCCAAGTCCCTCCTCTTTTTGAACCAGCAATACTTTTTCAACCCATTTTGTTTCCTACTCGATGTGCTGTTACCTTTGAGGCACAGCGTACAGCATCCAAATGGCTAGCTGCATCAAGCGTAAAAAAAAAAATAAAGTCAAGTTGTTTTTTAGTGGCACACGGCAGGAATCTGTACCAGGCCGCACCAGTGGTTAACGGAGTAAATTGACCAAGGGCACCATTTCCGAAATGCTGCGTGGAAAACCACTTGGATGAACTGAGCAACAAGTCCCTCATTTTTTTTGAACCACCAACACTTATCCAAGCCATTTTGTTCCTACTCGATGTGCTGGTATCTACGAGGCACGGCCTACAGCATCCAAATGGCTAGCTGCACCAGGCAAAAACAAAAAAAGAGTCGGTTTGTTTTTTGTCGGCGCATAGCAGGAATCTGTATTGGGAAAAAGAGTCTCGGGAGGCAAAGACAAAAAAAGAGTCGGTTTGTTTTTTGTCGGCGCATAGCAGGAATCTGTGTTGGGAAAAAGAGGCTCGGGAGTACCGGCGGTTCACGGAGTAAGACGACCAAGGGCAGTGTTTCCGAAACGCATGTGGAAAACAACTTGGATGAACTGAGCAACAGGAAACTCACACGTCCAAGGCTGGTCTCCGAGACAAAAGTTGGAACGGATGACGATAACAAATGTGATTACATAGTGACTGATTCGGACTTGAATTGCATAACTGTCTTAGTCACCAAGTAACGGCTTGGGCTCGAGGGAATGATTCCGAGTTGCATACTCGTGAAACACAGTCATAAGTATGGCGCAGATTCCCAGAACCGACCAGATAATACAGAGTAAATTTCAAATACCGCGGAAGACTTGAGATACATGGACTGACTCTGACCTGACTCGGACTGCAATCGAACACTCTCAATCATTCATCGGGGGTGCGAAAGCCCTGGCCTTGGACACAGACGAAAGGCCAGGGTCTGAGATCATCCACGGACGAATGGAGGGAGGAGAGAGACGAAGGGATGAGGAGAGGGAAGATGACGTCAACTCGATGTTTCCAAAGATAGTATCTTGAAATGCCAGAGATGGCGAGAATCCGAAATGTTGCGAATACAGTGGCCCACAATGTCTCAGATATCGATCTCACAATGTCAAGTACATCTCCAGAGGCAGACGAAATCAGATCCCACAAGTAGTCCTCAACCTATAGTCCCAATGTTGCTGTCTCCAATGTCATCAGAATTCGTAACCATCTTTCATACTCATAGCAGTCTCGTAGTAGTCTCGTAGGAGAACCCAGAAGTAGACTTAGACTGAGAAGGGAGAGAGAGAGAGAGAGAGAGAGAGAGAGAGAGAGAGAGAGAGAGAGAGAGAGAGAGAGGTGGAGGAAGAAGAGGGAGAGAAGGCGAAGCCTTCCTCCCTGGTACCTGGCACGGTAGCTATGGCGCTGCAAGGGGGCTGGGCCGGTAACTGGCGCTGCGCCCAATGCTGCGCTGATCCTCTCGCCGCTGAACTCCTGCTCTCGTCACTGCTCCTCGCTATGCTGCAGCGCTGCGCTAATCGTACTAACGCTGGAACGCTGCGCTAATCCTGAAGACTAACCTTCGGTCCATACTAACCTCTCCCCTCCTACTGAGGCTGGTACCCAGCCTTTTGTAGTGCTGGGCCGGCCTCCTACCTGCTGGTACCTACCGGCCTGGACCGTTGATCTGAATCGACGGTCCAGATTCGAACTGGATTTGGCGCCTAAACGTGGCAGCCTCTGCAGCGCTGCCGGTAGGTCCTATGCTGGGCCGGTACCGGCCTTGTGGCCGTTGGCCTGGGCCTCTACCCCTGGCCTGCCTGAACCGCCGTGGTCCTGGCCTATCTGGGCCTCATCTGAACCCTCGTCGCTTAGGCCTACCCTGCCTATTTGGAACTGGGCCCTAACTGGGGCCCGTGTGGCTCAGAATGCCACATTCCGGTTGTGCATACAACACCAGAATGGTAGAGGTAAAATCGCTAGCATGCCTTCGGCCTTCACACTTCACAAGAACCACCACTAGTCTGACAATACACAAACATATTGCACACAACTATGATGACAATCTGCCATGCGATCGGACAGGAGAGACTGAGGCGGCGTCCAAATGATTTAGGAACAAAGAGGAAAAGAAAGAGCACACCTCTGTTGAAAATCTGCCTAATCATAGGACAAACAATCGGACACTGAAGAGACCAAATAATTTGTAAGAAACAGGAAAGGAAAGAAAAGAAAAGAAAAGGCAGCAAAAGGAGGAAATCACTCTGCATGTACTCGAGCAAACAAGAACAACACATTTGAAAACTAGCGGGGGGGGGGGGGGGGCAAACTCACCGGAAAGCCACAAATCCTCCATAACCCATTGATACAACATGACAAGAGGTTATCCCAAAGAATCTCAAGAGCCCGTCCACACACACCGCCTGGAAGACCTCTGATCGCTCTTCGCTGCGTTCAATGCAAACGGAAAGACAGAGGGAAAGCACACAAATAAGTATAGAAACACGATCCAAAAAAGTTGCAAAAAAGAGATGCTCAAGTTGGTTTGCAACAACTTCAAACCACCTCTGCCTTCTGCGCCTACCATGGTTTCCAGGGCAGCATGCCTTTTCCAATGAGGTCCACTGGATGGGTAATCTCTGCACAGCAGAATTTTCTCCAACTGTCACAGGTTGGGCTGATATTTCAGTAGGTAATGCTGGTTCAGCAGCAGCTTATAATATGTGACGCAGATATCCACTACCGTTGTCACTCGAAAATTGCACCAAATACGGCTACAATGACCGGGTGTTCTATTCAGGTGAAGACGGTAGGAGACTGTAAAGTCCAAAGGACGGATGACACTCTCCTTTTCTCTTTCTTTCTTTCTTTCTTTCTTTCTTTCTTTCTATCTTTGTTTGTTTGTTTGTTTCTTTCTTTCTTTCCTACCTTCCCACCCGCGGATCCTACACAACAACTGTTCTCACCTCACACCATATGTTCCAATACAAACATATCTCATGAACACTAGGAGCCTCCCGAAGACCGCTAGGAAGCCAGTAGGAGGAGGCCACTTGCAAGCCCCGACAGGAAGGCCTCTCACCTCTAATCCCATCCCATTATAACGCTAAAACTGAAGCTGATTCCCCATCAGCAAGTGGCCCAGTGTTAAGTCGGCCCAAACAGGGAGACTGTGAAGTCCAAAGGGCAGGGTGATGCTCTCTTTTCCTCTTTCTTTCCTTCTTTCTTTCTTTCTTTCTACGTTTTCCTCCCGCCGACCCACACAACTATTATCACCTAATGTCATTGGTTCCCATTCAGACATATGTTTTGAACGCTAGGCGCCCCTTAGAAGACCACTGGAAAGCCACTAGGAGGAGGCCACCAGGAGGCCACAGGAAGGCCTCCCCTCTAATCTGTCCCCACTGTTAGGCCAAACCTCAAGCTGATTCCCCATCAGCAAGTGGCCCGCAGGAAGGCCTCCCCTCCAATCTGTCCCCACTGTTAGGCCAAACCTCAAGCTGATTCCCCATCAGCAAGTGGCCCACTGTTACGTCGGGCCGAACAAGAGTAGGGGTACAACCACACTTCTCTTCGTCTAATCTTCATCTTCTTCTTCTTCTTTTTCTACTACAACTATTACTACTAAACTCCCATTTCGTTAAAATGGACATTTTATATTTTCTGAAATACATTGAAACCTACTTATTTGGCCCTAAGAATGTCACCGTCTGAAAACGATGGGCCTCCTTGGATGTATCTGGACTTCAGCTAAGCCCGGACAGACCCTCAGGAGCTAAAACCGGGACATTTTTAGAGCCAAATAAGTAGTTTTCAATTTTGTTCAAATAATATAAAATGTTCACTTTGAAACGGTTCTCACCTCCGTACCCTTGTACAGGACTCATTGACCCTGTATGTGTTTGAACCCATGACCTACCCCTAAAAGTCATACGTTCTGACTGCTGTATATAGCCGGTCGCGTGGATTCGACCCGTAGACCTGAGCTTAGTAGTCGTAGGGTCACCTTAGGTCGTAGCTGCTGTAGTTCCAAAAGGTCAAGACTAGGACCTTCTAGAACAGCCTACACTGGCTCTTCGTAGGTCGTAGGGGTCAGTCCGTAGGTGAGTCAGCAAGGGGCAGTCCTAGTACAGTCAGCAAAGGGCAGTCCCAGTCTTAACCCAGTCCCGGTTGCACTTTGTCTAGTCAGCAAGTACCATGTGGACTGTGTACACACCGGGCCCAGGGTCCAAGGGCAGACCAACGACGATCCGAAATATAAATAAAGAGGCAGCGCTAAGTCATTCATTCATTCTGCCTGTGAGCAGTGCAGAAGTGCTGTCGGAGCGTCTTGTGTTACGGAGGTCTGCAGGTTCCTGAGGAGGAAGAGGGCTAAGAGCAGGAAGAAGCGGCCATAGCAGCGAGTTAGTCGGAGAGAGACGGCGTCCATAGCCGCCACATAGGTTAGTGGTAGGAGGAGTGTGTCGTGTGTGTGTGTATGTGTGTGAGACATTCAGGGTGATCCTAGTGAGTAAGTGTGTGTGCGTGTGAACAAATTTCTGGTGGATACAGTTGATCGTGTGGGAATCTTTGTGGGCGCTGGGCGCCAAGTTTGAATCTGAACTGTGCTCCTGGCCACGTTCTATCTCTGAGCTTTGTGTGGGTGCAATGCACCAGTCGTAGTCGTCATCTGTTTGCATGCATTCTGAAAGAGAGTAGCGAGAAGTCTGATTTCAGCTTTAACAACATGGCTGTTTCTTCCTGTTTCCTTCAATTATTCTTCTTCCTTTGTCTCATTCTTCTTTCATTCTTCTTTGACTTGAGTTGCAATGAATGTCATCTTCGTCTGATTCTTCTTTCGTTCTTCTTCGATAGTTGCAATGAATGTCATCCTCTCATCTTTGTTTTGCATTGTGAGCTGACCAGGCTTTCCATAACCTAAACCTTTGATTCTCACTTCAACTGCACCACTCGTTCTTCTTCGACA